AAGTGAACGGTTTTTCTTTCATGAGCACGTAAAAAACCACGGTCTTGCCCAGTAATCGCGAATAACTCAAAAACGAATGAGAAATCGGGCAAAGTGAAAATTGACCAATCGAAATCTTATTAAGATTTCTTGTCGATTGTTATCGCGCGCCGATCCAGGATGATTTCCTGGTTCCACAGCTCAGTCTGAGTTTTCATAAAAAGTGCAAAAATTAACATGTTCCCGAATGTATAAATTTAGTGCTGAATGTTCTTTTGAACTAAGGAAGCATTCAAAAAAGCCATCTTGTTTTCTAAAAAATGTGACCTGCTCAGGTCTGTGACTTAAACGGCTGAAAAAATATGCATTTCATTTTCGAAGTTGGCCATTTTTCATGCAAAAACCAGGTCGGTTTTTTTTTGCACTGTATTTATTTACTTGGTGACAAGAAAGGGAGCAAGAAGGTAGGAAAGGTTACGATACAGCACTTCCAGAAGGAGGATCGGAGCGACTTTAGGTTTTAGGAGGTTCCAACACTGAATATTAGAGAATACACAATTAATTGACACAATAATTCTTTCATTAGTTATTGAAAGAAAGCGCAGCTATCCGAGAAGGCATTGTCGGACTCTTCTTCCTTACCCTGAGTAATGGCGGGATTTTCAAACAATCTAATCGATATTTGAACCATCAATCAAGCAAAACATTAAGGACGTCTGCTTCCATCTCATTTATTCCGTTAAAGTAAATATTTTTATACTCGGTTTACTTATGAATGGTGTACATCAAAAAAGTTGCAAGAAGCTCTATTTTTATGTTTTTCCCTCTCGGACATTTTGATGGAAGATCGCACATAAATTAACGTTAAGATTTTAAATCCCGCCTCGCTAAAAGGTGCAGTAAGAGTTTATAAAGGATATTAACCAAAGTTAAGGCCGGCTCGTCGGACACCAGCCCACGCACCGAAGTGAAATACGTCAAAAGTTTCACGCTGGCCGTAGATCACTTCAGAAGGCTTGAAGAGCTTATTATAATGCTCTACACTTTTTTAAACAATTTATCCGACGGCAGGATCCGGGGGGCACAAAGCACGCCTGAGGCGCTTATCGCGCCTTTCCTCTTTGCCTTTTAAAAGTCTTTTTGGCTACAAAAAATTAAAAGGAAGAACCTAAAAAGTTTTCAAGGAATTTTCTTTGCAGATTTTAATTGGTTAAAAATTTAGTTAATTTATTAATTGCTAAAAAACCTTATCAAATTATAATAGAATTAAAAAATAATTTTCAAATATAAAAACACGTAAAATTCTTGAATTAGAACTACACTGACAGGCCAAATTTATTTTCATATTATCTTCTACCCATCCGCTTTTTGAACCTTCTGTAAATAATTATACATTCAAAACAATATTTGACATTCGACCCACAAAAAGTCGCAAAATGTATATAATACAAAGGTTTTGATCACACATTAAAAAAAAGTACTTCCTCCTGCATCGCATTATTTTATGCTGTGAAAAGTTAAAAATTAATTGTCTTTTAAATGCGACTCGTGTAATTGTTAAATATGGAGTACACTTTCCATTAAAACATGCAATTAAAAACTAATTCATTATCTCTTGATTAATTTTATGTCTTAAAATATTAAAATTTTTTCAACTACATTAACACCTCTTTCACTATTTTTTGTGAAAAATTGATCCACCATTGACGACTCTACTGGGATGTTGTACTCACACGAGTTTACATTGACTCGAACAATTTCGGCCATCTTCAGTGAGTAATTGCCAGTTGCGTTGTCCGTGTAGGTTTTTATATATATTGACAAGCAAAAAATTTCACCCAAATGATTTTTTTTCATTTTCTCATTAGAAGAAATTAATATTATTTAATTTAATTAATAATATTGTATTTTGGCAATTACAACCTTAATTTGTTTCAATAAATATTTGTTTATACTATATTTTAAATTGGGCATATCAATTAGACATAAACACACTTAATCCTTAATCCAATATAAGGATAAAGGATTTTTAAATGTTTAAGTTTTACGGAATTTAAAGTGTTTATTCGGTCTCATTTGAATTCTGAAGCAATAAACTGTTCTTTTCATCTTTGTTTTCTTAATTTCAATTTTTAAACTTAAAAATGCCAATTAGTGCTGATAATGTTGCGGGTGGTGTGGCACTTAGTGATGATGGACGTTTCATCACGTATGCAGCTATTGCCATCAGAGTTCCCAATGAAACTGTACGAGATGCCGTTAGACGTTTTCTTTTTTAATTTTTTTTTAAATTTTTTATTTTTCATTTTCCTTAGCAATTTACAATTATTTTACTTTTTTAGACAGACTTCATTATTAAACGTTAAAAAACCTGAAACTAGTGACTAGTATGAAACACTTGGTTCAAAATTTACATTTACATCTTTATTGAATTTTTTCCAATCAAAATGTTTTGTAATTTACCTAGGCCCTGAAGATGATTGGAATAAAGGTCGAAACGTTGGTACAAAAAATGAAAGAGGTTTTTCCAATCTATCTCATTATTGACCGCTCCTCACTATTTCAACATTGTTTGTGTGAGTCGTTTTGTGGCCTGAAGTATACAGGGTGTCACATTTCCTTCTGACGAAACTCAGGCAATCGATTTCACTCTTCGTTTGGAGCAAAAAATGCTCAGGAGAAAATTTTCTGAAAGTTCTCTATTTTGAAGATATTCGTCAATTTAGGTTTTTTCAACTTTTCACTACCTTACCACATAAAAACGCTTACAATTTCCAAAATGTTGAGACTACAACAAAGCCAATTACACCATTTGAAAGAACGCAAAATTTGCCTTCAAATTTATCTTAGCTCACGTTTTCGAACAGTCAATTGTCATTTTTCAACTCTACTAGAACGTTATTTAAAAACCTGGATATATCAACGTAAATCATATTAGATGAAGAAGATTTTGTAAAATTTGACAAGTTGTAGGTATTTTTTTGTAACCTAGTAGAACGTGCAATCATGACCAAAATTTTAAATTTTGTAATTTTGACATGTTTGTCATTCAGATTATTGCAAATAGAAGTATCTTACAGCAAATTTAGCGTTCTTTCAAATGGTGTAATTGGATTTGTTGTAGTCTCAACATTTTGGAAGTTGTAAGCGTTTTTATGTGGTAAGGTAGTGAAAAGTTGAAAAAACCTGAATGGACGATTATCTTCAAAATAGAGAACTTTCCGAAAATTTTCTCCTGAGCATTTTATGCTCCAAACACAGAGTAGAATCGAATCCCTGAGTTTCGTCAGAAGGAACTGGGACTCCCTGTATACTTCAGGCCACAAAACAAAATAATAAATTAACATTTCTATACGCAAATTAAAATCTGCATAACCAATTTTTTATTCAGTAGTAGAAAATTGAGAAAAATAGCATTAACAATTTTTATAATTAATTACTCTAAAAATACTTACATTATTTTCCCCAATTTGCTCGGCATCAGTATTTTGGTTTCCACAAATAGCCCAACAGCGTTAAAATTGTGCAAATCGGTCGGATTTTGAACAAAGATAAACTACATAATATCTAATATACATTAGGATTAAGCTATCTATCAAATATTTTGTAATTCGTGTATATTGTTGTATACAAACATTACTTGGTTAGTGGAAAGAAGATATTTCAGCATTTATGCTTGTGTCGACGTGCAGGGAATTAAAGAAAAATCGATTCTAAGTTAGATTACATTTACATTTTAATTTCAGGATTTGTGTAAATAGTTTGCAGTTTCTAACACTAACAAACGTGCATATTATACATTAATTACTTACTTGAAAATTGCTCATTGTTTCCTACGGTGATCCTACCTACTATAAATTATTGAATAAATAATAATTACTTAAATAATTTAATCCTCACATTTGCAGAAATCCAAACATTTGTTGATTCCATGGGGAGGGGGGCACTTCCATGGGGGCACCACCAAACCCGATGATTTAAATTCCGGCGGGAAACCAGAGCCAATCAGATTCCATGTGTTTAAATTTGCACGGAAAAACACCGTGGGATAGGATAGTGGTAGTGGTATCCCTTGTACTGCTTACCTGTAACTAGTGTGGAAAGAAAATGGATTTAATTTTAAATTGCATAAATTGTGTTGTGTGTTAAATTTGTCCATCAGTGTATTATTGAACAAGTTCTTTTTCATTTGCAGAAATGTTTACAGCAAGATTTTGTTACCGCCGTTTTTAATACATTTCAAGGATAAATAAGAATAAACGTGAACAATTTCCGTTTGAATTGAAAGAACAAGACAATATCAACATTAATTTTCTTTAATTTGGCGATATGTCGAACTGGACTGCTTGTTTACTTTAACTCAACCCATTCTGAGGAAGAAGAGCACACGTACGACATTGAGATTCACCTCAGATTCGCATTGAGCCCTTTCTCCTCTCTAAATAATGCAATCGATATTGGTTTAAAACAAGTCGGAGCCTTGCTTTCTTCTTTTCTTTTCTACGTCCCTTTAGTATATTTGTCCCCCCCCATTATACTAACAGATTCGCTCCCCGGGATGGAGAGGAGAGGTTTGGAAAACATAATCAGCAGATCCCAATTCGCCCAGGCATTTTATACGGCCCCGAGCCGGTTAGGGGAAAGTAGTAAAGAAATTTTTAATAAAAAACTATTTAAAAATTAAAATTAAAAAATAAATCTAAAAATTTATGATTTGTTCCAATATTTTCAATGTACTACAATTAACTCTTCTCATAGTTTAATTTTTTATTTCGAAATGATAAATAAATCACTCGAACTTTTATCCGTGACCTTATTAGGCTTTAAAGATAAAAAAGATGTGAATTACATTTGGCACTCCATCTCTATCTCCCCCGCCAACTGATGAAGGACTCTGCCTATACAATTCATTCCCTCCTCACTCCCATTCACTCTCTCTCTCTCTCTCTCTCTCTCTCTCTCTCTCTCTCTCTCTCTCTCTCTCTATCTCTCTCTCTCTCTCCTTCTTTTAATTGATTGCCCATACTCTTTTAATCTATTTATCTTTGATAGTCATATTTGCTATATAAGCGTCTGCATCTCTAGTACGACTTCAGTCGCAGGAAGTAGACGAACATGTAAATAATCATATAATATTGTGTGTACATAAAGAGGAGAGATTTTTCAGTGATTTTGATTTTACAGGAAATTTATCATCAGTGTTGTAATCGTCGTGGCCGCTTTTGCGGTCATCTCCGATGCCAGGGTGTTCACAAGATGTGAGTTGGCGGAGGAGCTGTTGAACCAAGGATTCAAAAAATCAGATTTAGCAGATTGTAAGTTAAATAATTTTTCTTCCTCAAATGCCAATTATTTATAACTTCACTAATTTCGTGGTCCGCTTGACCAATTAATACATTACAATTAATTAAGGTTTTTAGTTGAGATGAAAAAAAGCTAATGGCACGAGAGGGATTCGAACCCACGACCTTCGGCTTGATACGCCGCTGCTCTACCACCTGAGCTATCGTGACCTCGACCCACTCGGACATCAACTCCCCATCTCAACCCTACCTTATGAGTTTTCCCTCCTTCTGCGAATCCCTGTTGGGATGAAAAATGGCAAATGTCCGAGTGGATCGAGGTCACGATAGCTCAGGTGGTAGAGCAGCGGCGTATCAAGCCGAAGGTCGTGGGTTCGAATCCCTCTCGTGCCATTAGCTTTTTTTCATCTCAACTAAAAACCTTAATTAATTGTAATGTATTAATTGGTCAAGCGGACCACGAATTTAGTGAATTTAATGATTAAAATGAAGTACACTTCACTTAAGCTCTCCGTCGCCATTTCAATTGTCGTCGAGAATTCAAACCGATTACACGACATTTGAAAAATGGCAAAAGGATGGAAAATTCATAAGGTGGGGTTGAGATAGGAAGGTGATGTCCGAGTGGATCGAAGTCACGATGGCTCAGGTGGTAGAGCAGCGGCGTATCAAGCCGAAGGTCGTGGGTTCGAATCCCTCTCGTGCCATTAGCTTTTTTTCATCTCAACTAAAAACCTTAATTAATTGTAATTATTTATAACATTGCGCAAATTTGTCGTACGCAACATGAAAGTTTTTTGAAAAAAAAATTAATTTCCACCACATTTTCCGTCAGAATTGAAAATTGGTGACGATAGGATAACATTTCGGTCTAGATTTACTAAGCTAATCCAGTTCACTGTTTATTGACTAGTCAATTCCGTAGAATATAGGTCAAAATAAGTGATATAAGCAGGCTAAAGCAAGACGATTCCTTCCTTTCTTTTTAAGTGTTATCTATTATCCATTGTATTCAGTGGTCCGTATAACCAAATTATTTATTTCAATTAATTCATCTTTTTATGTAAAGCATGGTTGAAATGAAGGTCGTGGGTTCGAATCCTGCTCGTGACACTAGCTTTTTCATTTCAACCAACACCTTACTTAAAAAGATTAATTTTTCAACTTAAATTGTTGTTGAACCAAAGATTTTGGTGGGAGATTTCGTTCGACTGTAGTTTGAACAAAAAAAAAATTAAATTGTGAGAACATGTGCTTAGGAACGAGTTAGCTTAGGGTTCTGGATGGTTTAGATAAAATGTGTTTAGCAAAGTTAAGTTGTTAGTACTAGGAAGGGTTAGGGGGATTAATGGTACAGGGTGTAACACGTTTTGAATTTAAAACGAGCTAATCAACACAATTAAGACGAAATTTGACTGGAAACAGATCTTAGTCTATTCAATATTTTTTAAATGCGAAGTTACTGGGAACGAAAATTGATTTTCAAACTCTATTAACATGGCAAATGCTTTTTCAATTAAAATAATAATAATAAAATAAAACAAGGGTAAGGCCAATTTGAACGAAAATAATACAATGAGTTCCTTCATCAAGCTCACGAGAACTAAGTCCCTTTCAACAAGCCTTATTAATAACTATTATTAATAATTCACCAAGTTAAAAATATTGCTTACTTAAAATAAATACACTTTTATCTAAGGCCATGGTTGAGATAAAAACGCTAGTGCCACTAGCGGGATTCGAACCGATCACCTTCGGCTGGTTTGAGGAGCAGTGGGACAAAGGCGGCAAAAAATTAATTTATTAAAAACTGAAATTTTTATAATCCGTGGACTTTTTTCAGTATTTGAGCCAGAGGCTGGAGTAATGGTTTGACGGTCAAAAATTGATCAAAACCAGTAATCACTGCTGAAACCTGAAAATCATAAATTTCGCAAGATATACAGCTATTTTCTGGACATTACATCCCATGCAGCGTTTCTTTGTAAAAACTCGTTCACCCTAATTTCCATTTACGCGTACACCCAAGTTTGAGATAAAGACAAAAATTCAAAGTAGGGATGGAATCAGATGGGTTAGTTGAGGGAAAACCAGAACTATTCCAGGAATATTCGGTTTTTTTGATGTTCCAAAAAAGCTTTTTCTTTGCTTCGGCACCGTCTTCTTTCGCCTCTTTACACATCGAATTACTATCTGTGGTTGCCAATTACCACCTATGTGATTGCAGCACTGTTTTAAATAAAGCTATTTAGCTTAAAATCTCGAAAATACAATAAATTTGGCCACTTTCTGTTTAGCTGAAAGATTTTTACTGTGTAGATTCCGAATCAGATATCACAAATATCGTACCATGAAACGTTTCTTCAATAAAACGACGAGTAAAGACGAAGTGAAAAAAAATGTTGACTTATGTAGTAAGTACATAATTATAGTTACTAATTATTAGTTTATGGTTATTTTATCAGTTCAATTTTTACTTTATTATACATTCTTGGAATAACAAATTATTGTAATCGATCAGTAAATCGATTTTAATTGCTATACATTCACACAGAAAGAGAAGGGCAATATTTCATCGTTCTCTTCAGATAGCCTTTCATTGATAGTTTTTGAAATTTTGAAAGTATACAATTTCAATCAAAAGACAAAATTTTATTAATTTCATTTTAAAAACCAGTATTCTAATCTAACAGTAAAAACAGTTAAAAAGATGACCATTGGGAAACTCTTGAGTTCAGCTTTTATTTTAAATGAAATTTTACAATTTTTATTGAGAAATTTACTGAGAAAAACGTGTGCAAGGTTCATTTTGGTTACCTCAAAACGGGATTTTTGTTGATTTACTTGCGAAAAAAGCGACTTATCGCTTTTTCATTGTTATATTCGTGATCAGTATTATGATTCTTATAAGAATAGAGGTTTTTAGTATTTGTTCTTTATCTTTTCAGTATTTACATTTCGTTTTTCAACAGTATATGAGTAATAGTTATTCATATACTCAGATACAATTATTGTGAGTAAGTCCATTTGGGTCGGCATATTATATTTTTCAAAGTGTCGCGTTATTCGTACGTCTACCGTTCACAATTTTGGATGGTTCGCTGTGGTCCAATTAATCGATTCGAAAACAGTTTCCTCTAATTCGGCATATATGAAGCCAAGGTGATTATTGGTGACATATATTCCATTTTTGGATTTTGGACCTCAATTGTGGACGGTGTGATTGGGATTGGAAAACGTTTCATTGGATTCAGCGCACCAAAATCTAAGCATACAAAATTTGGGGAACTTAACTCAAATTACTTGGGTGTTAATGAATTTTGTCCCGTACCTTCTTGTGTTCTAGATCCATCTGTGAACAGAGGATGCTGCCATTTTTAAAGGAGTTAATTCCTTTTCTTTCCCATTCTTTTTTGGTACCCAGGTTTATTCGGAATTTTTGGTTAAATTCAAACATCCTGTTCATATCGTCTGTTGGAGCCGTGAGTGACGGATGGTCTTTCCATAGCTTATTGCTATCTCTCCATTTCAGTTTTATTCCTGTTGGAGGTTTCTCTTTGATAAAGTTGATGATTGTTTTCTGCGCTGTCCTTACTACCATGTGATGTAGGGGGATTAATCCTAGTATTTTTTCCATGCTAATTGTAGGACATGTTCTCATTCCTCCGGTTATGCAGATGCATGCAAGTCTCTGTATTTTTGTAAGTTATTTTCTTTTAGTTATTTCTGCTTTATCAGCCCAGGCTATAGCTCCGTATGTAATTAAAGGTCTTACTAACATGGTGTACATTCACACCAGGGTTTCCGGTCTGCATCCCCAGTTTCTTCCTGTTATTCTTCTGCACACCATCAAAGCTCGTGTCGCCTTCATGATGGTAGAGCTGATGTGTTTCTTAATTGTTAGTGTTTTATCTAGTGTGATGCCCAGATATTTGACTTCATTTTTGATTTCTATCACGGTGTTTTTGAGGGTTATTTCCATCATGTGATCAAGTTTCCTTCTCCATGTAAAAGCGACTATAGTTGTTTTGTTGGGATTGATCCCTAAGCCAGCGCTTTTACACCATTCTTCTGTGATTTTTAGTCCCTCTTGGATTATATCGCAGAGAGTTTCCTCGCATTTTCCCTTGGCAGTCAGGACTATGTCATCCGCATAGCCCTGACATTTTATGCCTGAACGGTCCAAGAGCAGTTCATCAACTGTTAGGTTCCATAGAAGAGGTGATAGTATCCCTCCTTGAGGATAACTTTTGTTGTGCTAACTTCTATAGAGTCTGTTCCTATATTTGTTTCAGCTATTCTGGTTCTTAGCAGTTCTCCAATCCATCTAGATGTGGTTTGGTCTACATGTTTTTTCCCCAGGGAGGCCTTCATTTTTACATTGAGATGCATTGTCGAAAGCTCCCTCAATATCGAGGAACGCGCAGATTGCCATTTCCTTTGTTTCCAGTGTTTCCTTTAGGTCACTGGTTAGCTGGTACATTCCGTTCAACTCATCGTCAACAGACAAGAGGATCTTTAGCGTCCGCACCTGGCCTGGTCTGTAGGATTTAGGTGTTATAGGGTCTCTTTTCCCCACTTTTGGTATAAAAACTACCTTTGCCCTGTGGTATGTAGTGCTAAACTACTTCTTTATAATCGCAGCAATGTTGGAGTAATTATATCCATTCCTTTTTGTAGCAGGATGGGAAAGATCCCATCCGTTCCCGGTGCTTTGTAAGGGCTGAAAGTGATAATCGCCCAGAGGATTTTCTTCTCTGTGATTATTTAAGCTGCTTCTTTCCAATTTTCTTTCTTGGGATTATCTGTTCTCACATTTTCTGGGGAGATGTCATAGGAACTGCCTGGAAAATGTGTACTTAGAAGGAGCATTGCTTTTTGTTTCGGGTCTTCTGTGTAATTGCCTTCTGCATTTTTTAAGGCCGTGTTTATGTCTGATCTGTCCTTTGCTAGTACCTTGTGCAGTCTAGCTGCTGTGGATACTACGGAGAGTTCTCCGCAGAATTTGCGAAAGTTTTCTCTTTTCGCCCTGCGGATGGCATGCTTTTATGAAGTAATTAACCTTTTGTATTCTCCCCAGTTACTTGCTAGTTCTAGCTTTGTTGAACGCTTTCCTGGTTTCTTTCCTAGTTTACCCAGTTCTGCATTCCACCAAGGTTGGTCCTTGTCTACTTTTTGGGACCTTAACAGGGCAGCTTGATTTATATGCATCAATTATATTCCGTGTGAATTCCATATATGCAAGTTCCAATTCATTGCAGGTCTTCGGTACTCTCTTCACTGTTACAAGGTTTAAACTATGTGTTACCATCTCAGTGAACCTTGCCCAATTTGTGTTTCGGGGTTTTCTGAACGGTGTAGGGTCTGTCCTTTCTGATTCGATGTCGAACCGTATTATTCTGTGGTCCGACACCGACTCTTCACTTGAAACCTCCAATTTTTTATCATTTTATGTAGGGCTTGGCCGCAAATGGTATATCCAATACTGCTCGTCACACTTTGGTGACAAAGGTAGGGATTGATTCTATATTAAGTATATCTAATTTTTCCTTCACCAAAAATTCTATGAGTGACTCACCTCTTTTGTTGTTATTGGTGCTTCCCCAGATTTGATGGCGTGCGTTGGCATCGCCTCCCACCAGCAAGGGGAGATTCTTCTTGCTGCAGTAGCTGGCTAGCCTTCGTAGCTCGTCGGGGGGAGGGTGGTCCTCCTCTCCTGGGGAGTATGCCGATGCTACTACTGCTTCTTGTCTCTTCCCATTGATTGGTATCTGTACCTTGATGGGAACTAAGTCCCCAGTCATGAATCCTGAAAGACAGAGATAATTAGTGTTTTTCCTAATCAATATGCATGCACGGGGATTATTCTGTCTGGAATCCCATACAGTCTTACTGTCTTTGCAGGACAAATCTCTAATTTGTCCTTTCCACTGCCAGGGTTCCTGGATGACAATTGCCCATAGATGTTGAGCAGTGAACATCCTAGTTACTACTGCCGAGGCAGCTTTAGCGTGATGGATGTTCACCTAGGCTATTCTCATTTCCTCCATGTTGGGTTATTCTTTTGGGGGTGTCTCCTCTCCCAATAGCTCCTCCTCGGTGAGCATTCTTGGCTCCGTCTGTAGAGGAGGAGGGGTGTAGATCTCCAGGATGACCTGGTCGACCTCCATCGCAGCAGTGTTTTCGGAGGTAGTCTCCATGGGTGGAGGCGTCGCTATAGGGGCCTTCTCTTGGGGCCTTTGATTGGGGTGGAGGTGTGAGATTTCTCTCGTTTTGTATCCTCCTCCCCTTCTTTTTCAGGCCTCTCACGGGGATCCTCCAAAAACGAAAATTGAGGGTATGTCTTCTTGAAATTATTGTTTCTGCCGAGATCTCATCGATGCCCAGGATCATGACAATCCCAGGCCTCTCCGCTTTCACTGAGTGAACTTTCCACTCCTCAGCGCAGACCCCGTCATTATGCGCTTTGACCAGTGCTAGGGTTTTTTGTTCTTCTCCTAATTTTGCCTAAGGAAGAACACCACTATCGAGTGAGGTTTGGGAACAATCTCCCCTAACCTCACTGTCAGTTTCTTATGTTTACTTAGCTCTAGTTTAGAGGCTATTTCCTGTAGCTATTGTACAGTTTTGCCATCTTGACAGTCTAAGAGCATCATACCCAACCTGAAGTGTATGCCTTCAAACTGTATTTTGGCTTCCCATCCTATTAAGATTTCTTCAATGAGAGTTTCCTCTAGCTGGGTCAGCTCTTCTGTTGTTGGTGTTACCAGAGGGTATTCCTCCGATAGCAAAGCCACCCTTACAAACTTTGCTGCTTCGGCGTAGCTGAAGCTTGGAGCAGCCTCCCTGGCTCTAAACTGCGCCTGAGGTGTGGATGGCTTTGCCTTCCTGTCTTTTCTTAGTTCCTTGGAGGTAACCGATTGTTCTTTTGTCATCTTGCTGGATGATTGTACTCCAGTTTCTCTTTTTGGATTTTAGCCTTCCTTTCGTCGGCCAATCTCCTTGCCTCTTCGTGTGTTTTCCCCGATTTTATCGCTCTCAGGTACCATTTGGTCATACCACCGCTAAGACCTTTCCTGAGAGGGTCGCCTTTCCCGCCTGGTTCACCTAGATTTGGCAATTCGGCGGAGACTTTTTTCTTCCCTTCGGGTTTCCCAAGAGGGGGGGTCTATATTTTCTACTGTCGCTACTTGAAGGCGTTAAACCTTCGTTTGTGAGGTGTTGAACTTCCCACGTAGCGATTGGTGTTTGTCTTTAGGAGGGAGAGGTGTCCTCTCCTTTGTTTCCAAGGACTGAGTGTCCATCTGGGGGTTAGTCTCCAGATTACTTGATGTGTTTGGACCAGTGAGATCCTGCTCTAGGTATAGTTTTTTGTTTGCTATACTCATTTGATTCCCACGAGTAGCTTGGGAACTATAAGGCCCCCTTCATCAGAGCTCCGCATGATGGAGTAAGGCAAATTACTCTCTGATGTCGCTCGGTGTCAGAGAGGCTCCATTCAAGACAGCCACACCCCGGCTCCTAGTGAATCACTCGGCACTGATCGCATGACACCTTTGATTGGGGCGGATGCTGCTTTTAGTCAAGCCCAAGACTCTTGTTAGGGAGTGATAGGAAGGAGGAAAAGGGGTTGGTGGTAGGATTTTGTTTAGTGAGGAGTGGTTGGGAAAGCGAGTACCTCACTTAGGAATTGGACACCAGAGCTCCTTTAGCCGTTTCGCACCGTACCATGCCGTGGGGGATAAATATGAATCCAGGACGGTGACGACGTTTCCCGGGGTTCACTACTTGGAAGCGCGGTTGGTCTTTGAATTCCGACCTGTCCTTATACTCTCATTCATAATAGATGCATCCTCTATCCTATAAAGTTGTAGGTTATCAGATGCTAGGATACAAGTTAGGCACGAATTGAAGCGTGTCATTTTTTAGTACTTTTCGAGTGCATAGATAGTATTTTGAATTAAAGAGTTGATTAATTTTCCTTTTTTTTATTAACTTCTGGCATCTTACAATTTAACACAAAAGAAAACCAAAACAAACAAGAACAAGCCTTCAAGGACTGTTATAGCTTCATTTTTAGTTCCACCAATCGCCACGCGCAGCATTGCGGAAAAATTAACGTTTTACATGCTAAGGAGGAGGGGTTCACGATGTCACTGGAAATTTCTCTATTCGAGTTAACACGAGTTAACATCTTAGATACAATACTCCTAATGTTTGACCAACAAAACTTAAATGAAATTTGATTTGCTGTTGTTGACCTTGGAGGCTTTTAAATAATCCCAAAAAAGATTGAAATATATTAATATTTGGAAAATCATCGAATGAAAAAGATTAATTGAAAGCAAACTTTAGGCGTAGCAGAAGGGAGAGGCATAAGGATACTTTGTTGTGCAAATGGGATTAATTAGTACAAAAGTAAATGAAGGAAGTAAACACTACATTATTTGAAGTTTATTTTGACTAAGATAGCTCCTCTATTAGCTTTTTACATAATGCAAAAAATAATAGATTTAGTCTACATTAAATAAATTTAGTGGTGCGTTAAACTTGTCCATCAGTGGTTTGGGAAGATGTTTCCCAGAGACTTAACTACCCGCGGATACATACAGCAAATATAGATCTTTGTATGTTCGTTGTGGAAGAAAAATATCTTATATTTCTAAAGAAGCTTTAACATTATGAAGGTTATCGCTGACTGAGTTATTCTAAGTACAACTTCTAACTAGTGGTTTCCTAATCATGTATTTAAACATAGAAATACCTTTTATTTAGACGGTTAAATAGTTTTTTAATGCATTTCAAACGTCATTTTTATCTTTATAATTCTGCTGTGTTAAAAAATGTTTTTGTCACGTTTATTTCTTCTATACTCTTCGTCAACACCAGTTCATGTTGTTTATTTATTTTTTTTACTTTTATATTTTTTAAGGGGTTTGTCTTGTTGAACACGAAAGTTCGAGGAACACAACAAAAAAAGGGGGCCCGAACAAGAACGGATCCTACGACTATGGACTTTTCCAGGTGACAGCCACAATTTAATATTTACCTTTCCATCGTTAACAGTTGAAAAATAAACGTTTAGTTTAAAAAGTTCATTTTTAAAGTGTTCAAATTAAAAGTTTGACATCGCATGTCAAAATTGTTTCTCCACTTTTTCCTAAACTAGACGGATTTATTTATTTTTATGGAAAACGTTTATTTATAACATATATTACAAATGTTTTTTTATTTATTACATCATGTTGATGTAATGTTAAATGGTATACTCATCGATTAAAAAAAAAACCTTTCAATGTAAGCTAAATTTTCAATGGTTCTCGGACAAAAAGTTAGCTCATGTTCGATGAGTTTTTAGAACATTCCTTTTTTTTTTTTTTTTTTTTTTTTTTTTTTTTTTTTTTTTTTTTTTTTTTGCAAAAGTAGAGGTTATATTAACCAACAGGGTGCCGGTGTTTTTGAAGAAAAGCTCATTTGTAAGTATGTCGGGTTCGAATGCAGGGCCGCTGGATTCGAACGCGGGACCTTTACCCCACAGTGATGAGCGCCGTGTCAACGCCTAACCGTTGCGGTCAGCAACGTCCCTCACATTATTCTATTGATGATGTTGACGATGATGGATACAAGGAAAAGGGAGCTTATGTTCTCCAAGCACTGCAGCCTGCAGGCTTGTACTTTCCTTTTTCATTAGTTCAGTGAAATCCTCGAATCTATCGAGTACTTGATCAATTGACTATGATGGCTACAAATTCCTCTCTATGTTTTCTTTGTATATCAGGTTGTCTCCATTTAGTGGTTTCTTTTTATTGAAAGATGATTGGGTGGCTCTTTCTTCCTACTTTTTGGAAAACCTGCACGTGGGCACATCATTCAATATGCCCATGTGGAGTAGATGTTTTCTCAGATGGGAGTGATCGGTATATTGTCCTCCTATATGTTTAGACCTCTCTAACTGCAGTGAGTTTGGTGAGGGTTATTATAACATACGTTTACTGTGTCTAGTATCTCCAGACTTCTTCTTTTGTCTTCTGAATTATGTGTTCGGTTTTTATCCCAAGAATAGATTCATGGCCTACATATGGTTTTCCAGGCCAACGCTTGATCCGGTTCCTTAATTTGTTTTGGAGCCAACTGATTTCCTCCTTAATTCTTCTTCCCCTTTGCAATATGTAGAGATTTTATATGATGAAGAGAGTTTCGTGAGTCATGTTGTCAGTCCCCATTTATAAGAATGGGAGTCTGTTTTTTTTTTAATTAGTGTTGTTTGACCAAAATGTTTAAGCCCATCAAGTTTGATTGTTTCTGGAATTTCCATGAACATTTCCTCTTGTATGGTTTACGTAGGCTGTTTCTAGTGCAAGTGACCTATTGAATAATTATAATTTTTTTAAATTTCAGATCAATGACAAATATTGGTGTTCACATGACAAAAAAGGCAAAGACTGTAAAGCCAAATGTGACGGTAAATTTTATATTTTTGACAATCATTCTTGCCTTTTAACTATTTTTGTTTTGTTAACCGGTAATTTATTTTAATTATTGATCCCGTTTATTTTATCTTTTAGATTTGAGAAAGGACGACATTACGGAAGCGTCGAAATGCGCCCAAAAGATTTTCAAAATTCATGGTTTCAAGGCGTGGTACGGTTGGAAAAACGGATGCACAAAGAGCAAACCCGACCTGACTCCCTGCCATCTCTAAGGAACAGTTAAACGAAACAGAATCATAACTGATTCCTCTATGTACTTGGAACTATCATTAACCAAAAATAAATATTTTTGATTCTTCATATGAAAACACGAATGTATTCATATTTATATTGGTCTTTATAATAAACTAATTGTATAACCCTCAGAGGGATAATAAGAAGTTTTATTGCACAAGTATTTTGAGCATTATAGATTAAATTAACACAATTGAAAGTTTGATAACAATGATTGTACACATATATGTATACACATATATGCTTTTAATTTTAGCATACTGGTGTGGAGCAACATCTCAATCCTGTAGATAAGCTTCGTTTTACCGTTCTTTTTCGTTTTCGGGCAAAATATCCGATTTAATTTTTGCGTTTTCACGTGACTGGATTCTCGTTATCGGGCCGGCTTGGATAATACTGGTGATAACGTTGAGTCGGTAGTGGGGGTAACGTGTTTACCAACACCTGATAATTGTCGCTTGTATACGTTGTGAGTACTACATGTCCTTTCCTAAGTTGCACCACAAACCGACTCATCACACAAAGAATCTTCAGCGCTGCAGCCATTGCCATTTGCTGTATTTGCAATAAAACTGTCAGCAGGGATGACAAAAAAATCTATCCGGTCCTCTGCTTGTAAGGGCTTGCTACAAGGAAGGTGTGTAGATTTCACTGAGGATGATATCGCATCGGTTAAATCGCTGGACAAACAATGGAGTTGTCAGCCTTGTTCGAGCTCCAACAGGAAACTCTAACCCACGAAGCGGCCGGTATGCTCTCCGCCGATCAACAATCCTGTCAGCATCACTGATACTTCTACTTCTATTCTTGAGGTACTCACCCTTCTAACCAAGAAATTTCCGAGATCAAGGCCTCCATCAGTGGTATGGGAAACATCAGGGAAATTAAATCTACTCTCAATAAGCAAGCCGCATTGTCATTTGAAAACTCTGATCGTCTAACAAAGACTGAGGAGCACCTCGAAACATAGAAGAAGAGGTGCAAGGAACTCTCTCAAGAAAACTGCAACCTGAAAACTCGAAAAACCTCGAAAATTTCTAGACTCGAAGCCCGTCTCAACCACTTGGAACAAGTCTCTAAATGTAGATCGGTTGAGATACGAGGGATACCGGTCAGCCCAGGCGAATCCCCGTCTTCTCTCCTGTCTCAAATTGGGTCGGGGCTGGGACTGAACCTAAGCCCTACTGATATTGATATGGCCGAACGCTTGAGACCGCGAAAAGATGATCCCCGTCCTCCCAGCATAATTGCGCGCTTCACGAGGCAAACGGTGAGGGACGAGTTGATCCGGCTCCGGAGGATTAAAAGGGACTTCTCTACCAGACACGTAGGATGGGAAGGCACGGTGAACCACCCCATCTATATCAGCGAGGATATGACTTCCACAATTAAACATCTATATTGGCTGGCTAGACAGTGTAAGGCAGCCGGGAAGCTGAAATATGTATGGTTTTCAATGGACAAATCCGATGGCGAAAAGGAGACTCTGCGACGGTACCCGATGCTACCCAACGCAAATCCAAACTCCAATTTTCCACAAGATTGTATTACTTCCGTGCACATCTGCCCGATGCTACGCAACGCCTCGGCCCAGGCGCAACGTCTAAAATGTAGCCAGCCTCGGCGTCTTCCGTCATGACTGAAATATCCAGAACTTCAGGTCTCGCCACCCCATTTAAAGTCTCTAATAGGTAAAGGCATTGTCATTGCGTAACCATAAAGGTTTACACAATAGTTAGATAATTAATAAAAAAAATTATTAAACTGAACGGTTGCTTTGTAAGGACCTACTGACCACCTATGTTAAAAACACCAGTGGATAACGCAGGGATCGAACCCGCGACCGTCAACGAAAGAGTGGTACCACTTCTCTCACATCAACGACCCCACGATATTATTTTAATGCGATAACAAGGTAACTTCTACGAGTTGAAAAATCCATCCAAGCAAGAAGTCGGTTTTCGACCCCCCCTAATCCCCTACAGGTTAAAATTATGGAATTTATTTTATTTAACAGTACGTTAGCTGTTCTTTAATGTAAAATAAATACCATTTATTAAAGTTATTAGTGACAATTTTTAAAAAAATTGAAAAAGTCAATCTGAGTTGGCGATATGCACATGTACATGGGTTTGTGTATAGAGGGAGCGACGAGCGCATGTGTAAGAGGAGTAGGGGTTGGTTGGTAAAGGAGGGGGGTGTGACGAAATAAACTTGTATGATCAATAAACACCAATACCAGGTGGTACCACTATGACAGTACCAGGTAATACTGTCATAGCACATATAGAATACATCGGACCTTATTCACTGGATGATGAATATCCGAGAAAATTTTTTCTCACCAGCAGGATCGTCGAAGCCCTCACAGACGTCATGATGGAAGAATACGAGCAATCACACCGAAAGATTAATATAATATACAATGGGTTTGAAAATAAAAGATATAATATAGATTTTGTTAGGTAAATGTTAATTTTGTTATGTTGTAATTGATTAAATATGTTTTATTTATTTCTAAGTGCCTATAGACATAGAATGATAAGCAAATTACAAAAATATCCCTCGTATCAAAATGGAATAAAATTATATATCCTAATCATATTTAAAAACAAGTTATAATTAGATAAAGAACAAATCGGAACTGATATAAGGTGTGAAAAAGGCTCCACCCCGTCACTCTCTGCTACGACCTGTTTGAACATGCAGGCGATAACATACGTAGTAGTACAAGAGACTTGCACGGGCATGCTCACCAGTACACGAGCAGGTTCACCAGGACCGCGCATGCGCGTACATGCAAAACAATATATAAACACGCTTAAGCATGTTCGTGACGTCAGCGGTGTGGAAGAGCGCATGTAACGAACATGTTTGTACATGTCTTAGTGTTAAGGGCGTACAGGTGTTTAATCCCTATTTACGCTGTATTTCCCACTCGCCATTCTACCATCAACGTTCGAAGAGTACACCAGCATTAATCCGGGTAGCTCCGCGTTCCTTCTGTGCTCCTGCTCAAAACGTTCCTTTGTTCGAGAATCTAGTAGTCTAAGTCCGAGAGTGCATAAAATGAACCCTGCCGGGTCTTCCAAGATCGTTTATTACAGCTGAATACGCACGGAAGCTTGCGCTTCCCATGCAGCCTAAACATCAACGAATGGTAGGATTGGGGAATCAAGAAATCTCTGGAGGAGAAAAAATGATCAATTGTCTTTTACTACCAAATCGTACCGGTTCTCCCGACCATGTACGATACCTCGGACTCTACCTGGACAAACGACTGAAGTGGAACTCCCATACACGACTTAAGCGCATAACATACAGTTTTTCATGCTTAAACAACTACTCGACAGGCGATCAAAACTCTCACTAACAAACAAACGAAAACATTACATTGCCCTCCTGGCCCCCATTTGGACATACGGACTTAAACTTTACGGAACTGCAAAGCGTTCCAAACTCAATCGAATCCAATCCCTTTAATCTAAAATCCTCACAACTGTAGTCAAAGCCCCTTTCTATGTATCAAATCACACCATCCATAACGACCTAAATCTCCCTTTTGTTACCGAGCTAGCACAATCCCGCTATAAAACGTTCCATTCCAAACTACCCCATCATCCGAAGCCTTTTGTCAAAAACCTATCATCCACCACTTTACCTAATAATCCCTTCCAGAAGACTGAAGCGTTGGTGGCCCCGCGACAACCTTAATAGTTGACATCAGTCCCCTACGACGGAGTACATCTCGCTAATCGTATTGATTAACGGCTACCATCACTGGATGGTAACTGTTCAAGCTTTCATGCTACCGTTAATATGTTTATATATAAATATTATCTGTTTTACTTGTTGCGTCGAAGAATGCAGTTGTAAAAAACAAATAAAATGCTTTAAAAAAAGTCTTGTAAGTACACATTTGAAGTTAGAGATCTTCCACGCACAAAAACCAATTCGATGCGGGCGTCCAAGGAAATGTCACCCCAGAACATAATGACCACCGTGGCATGCCACCTGAACAAAGCATAGAGCTTACCTTTTTCTTAAAGGTAAGTACACAATGGGATTCTTTGAATCGACTCTTTGAATCTTCGGAGAGTCTCGGCTGCGTCTAGCCTGAGTCCGAGCTGCCCCGATTCATTGTTGCGATGAATCTTGTGTGTTGCGGGCTAGCATTTTCGGACTCTTGAATCCCATCCGATGTGGGATTCTTTGACTCAATGTTGCGCAACATTGCCAGTACTGAGTGAATCGGAACAAGTGCTCTTGCTTCATTTGTTTAGTTGACGTTGTAGTAAGTGTTTTCTTGAAGATTTTGACAGTGTCTTGTATAAAGGTATCTTGTGGAGTACCGAGTTGTCTTTAGAGTTTATTGAAGAAATACAGTGTTTGTGGGATGTATGATTCATGGAATACAGAAATCGGGAATTGAAAAGCCAAACATTGAACGGTTTAGCCCAAAAATTCATTGTTTCTGTCGCCGAAATTGAAAAAAAATTCAAACTAAAAGGATAGTTTTTTAATGCACTTCCGATTGGATGCACTACATGCAATGCAAAAAATAGCAAGGGAAATTCCCGAGAGAGCTAGTTCCTCCGTCATTTTCACAGGCACTGATGAATGTGAACTGAATCTTGGTCCGGACACGGTTCTTTGTCGTGGAGCAGAGTCGGGGCTGCATCGCAACAATGAATATACGCAGCCCCGACTCTGCCCCGCAACATGAATCGAGTCAAAGAATCCCAGAGCGTACTTGACTTAAGAGCCTCTTGAAGATTTGAGGCCAACTATCACCTCACCTGTAAAGAAAGCTCAACCCCAATCTTCAATGTCCAATTGACTGTTCCCGTGCGAATTAAAACCTGGATATTTCTCTGCGCTGTAGAAAGAAAAGGACCACGACCCGCGTGCCGGGCCTCATGGCTATTTTCGTACAAATTATACAAAAATTATTTGATTTTCCTAAATCGGCAAATTTACTGGATAAATATGAGCCTCTCCCCTTGTAATTTCACTACCTATTAATTAAGAAAAATTCAAAAACATTACTGTAGACAAGGAAACGTGTTCTGATGGCAGGAGGGGGCAGGTCGTGGCGCCGTGTATGGCGCCAAATTAGCTGTATTTTTCTTTAGGAAACTTTTTCAGCTGTTCAATGGCGACAGTTCTTGTCAATATTGGATGTTTTCTGTCGTTCAATTGACTAAATAAAAGTGTTCTAGTAAATCCGTGAAATTCCCTGTATTTCATTCAGACGATACGTGTCTACAATGTAAATAAGAAAACTTTCAAAATGAATGTTTTTTTAAACCTAACAAATAATTAATTTTTTTCAGGAAATTACCTTGCGCTTTTCTCTTGGCTGTTGCCACCCTTGCCATTTCCACACTGGCAAAGACGTACACGGAATGTGAACTTGTCGATCAGCTGCTCAACTACGGTTTCAATAAAACAGATTTGGCCAACTGTGAGTTTTAAATAACCTTATCATTATCCGTTACATTTCTAACAATTCAAGTCATATTCGTTGAATTCTTCTAAGCTTCTCAGTTAGTAGTAAATATAATAAAATAAAATGTCTTATGCACATATTGTATAAAAAGAACATGGAATTTTAGATTTTTTAAGTTAACTTATAAATAATTTGATCAATATAAGAAATTAAGCATATACATAATAACTTAATGCTTTATCAGCTCTCGTCTCATTCTTTAGATTAAATTGTCTAGCTTATGAAAAAATACACTTTTCAGAAGTCGAGGTAAAATCCAAAACCATGAGCGCTTTTAAAGCAAAATGAAAGAAATATTTATTCAAAAAGGTTTAAATTAATTTAGTTTCTTCTGTGTTGATGATGCGTAATTATAATTAGAACTCAAGACAAGACGGTGAATCACAGGAGATTATCCATCAAGATATCTGCTGGTATAAACAGGGCAATTTTCTTTTTTTATTGTTACGAAGTGTAATATTTGTCGATGAACGTAAACTAGGCAAAAAAAGGACAATTGTAAAACCTTTGAGAATGTACAAACATGGTTTTAAAAGAAAAACAATTCCTTAAAAGTACCAGGGCGGTCTTATTGTTACGCCATACCCGGTTCGATGATCAGGTTGGTCTTTATTTGATTACCTGTCCTTAAAGTTAAACAAAAATTGAAAAGGAAATTAATAAATTATATTGAGAGAGATTGCCCAAGTTGGTTTTGGCCAAACTCAGTTCAATTCTAAGCTCTTTATTTTTTCTAGCCTTTCGATGTAAATGAGAAAAAAAAGGTCCACCTAAATTTGAATCGCATGTCAAATTTAATTAAATTCTCCTTTTCTGTTTAAAATTGTTCTGATAGTTATTCAGATATCGTGAGATGCGGTCGGGTGTGATGTAGGTTTCAGAAAAACATTTTCTTTATCGTGCCAACGTTTCGATCTTTTATTGAGATATNATCTCAATAAAAGATCGAAACGTTGGCACGATAAAGAAAATGTTTTTCTGAAACCTACATCACACCCGACCGCATCTCACGATATCTGAATAACTATCGATTAACGGTCACTAATCTCTACACATTGTTCTAATAATTTATTCAAAAAATCAAAACTTTTCAACCATTTATTACAACATTCCCTTATTAACGTATCACTTTTTCACACTATAAATAACATTTAGATAATGAACAGTAGGCCACTGCCACAGGTTTAAAATAATAATCTTTAAATAGCAAAAGATGAACGATAAAAACTATAAATAAATCTGCTTTAAATGAAAATTATAAATCAAGAATTGAATTTAAAAAAATAAAATGAAATAAAGAAAACACCAGATACAACAGTATGATGAAAAAATGGCTTAAAATTTAAGATAATTATATAATGAATTGTAATCTAGATATACAGTAGTTTCCTTCCTCTTTTTTATGCTTAAAATTGTTCTAATAATTTATAAAATAATCAAAACTTTTCTACTGTTTATTACGACATTTCCTTATTAACGATTCTCGTTTTTTTTCAACTATAAATAACATTTAGATAATGTACAATAGGCCAGTGCCATAGGTTTAAAATAATTTTCATTAAATAATGAAAGATGGACGGTAAAAGCTATAAATAAATCTACTTTAAATTAAAATTTTAAATTAAGAATTGAATTTAATAAAACTAAGATAAATTAAAAACCAAAAAGAACAGTACGATGAAAAAATGGCTTAAAATTTAGTAGAATTAGAGTTAGAAAAGTTTAGAGTCGTTTCCTTTTATTTATTTTTGATTTTTAATTTTTTTAAACGATATTTCAACTATGATTTTTTTTCTTTGAGGATATTTCAACTATGATTTTTTTTTCTTTGAGGATATTTCAACTATGATTTTTTTTTCTTTGAGGATATTTTAACTGATTTTTTTTCTTGGAGGATATTTCAACTATGATTTTTTTAGGATATTTCAACTAAGATTTTTTTAAAAGATATTTCAACTATGATTTTTTTTAGGATGTTTAAAGTAAGATGTTTTTTTAGGATATTTCAACTGATTTTGTGTGTGTGTGTGTGTGTCCTTTGAGTTTCGAATTATCAAATTGACTGTATATATGAATTGACTTGAAGGTTCACATCATTGTCATTGATCCCACTATTTTCTCCAGTATAGATCAGTGGCTGAAGTCATGATCTCTGAGGAAGCGTGGAGTTTCTCCATCACCTACATAGCCAGGGAAGTGCAAAATTGTAAACTGATGTGGCGGAAGGGCAACCTTCCGATGAGGACATTACTGACATGATGATGACAAGCCAAGTACATACGTGTTATCAGAAGAAGTTGTTCCGTACAACCAACTAATTGGCGATGGGTTCATTTTTATGCATGACAATCACACAGCTATTGGTGACTACTTGGAACTGGCTTCAATTCAATGCTCAGACTGGCCAGCATGTAGCCTCAACTTAAACCCAATCGAACACCTGAACTAGTAGTTAAAGAGGGTAAACCGTCACCCAGTGATGCGAGAGGATTCAAAGGAATTGATAATGGTGCTGTTGGACGAATATGAAAATATTTCACAAACTATATTCCAAACATAGAATCAATGCAATGTCGAACGCCAGCAGTGATCAACACAAGAGGAGTACTGAATTGAATATTTTCTTCATTGTTTCTAGAGCAACATTTTTGATAAAATTGTTTTACTAAGCATAATTTTTTAATTATTTTTTTATGTAGCTGTATCTTATTTTTTTCTTTAAAAATATCCAGAAAAAAACACATAATGATTGTAAGTATTTAATAAAAAGAACGAGGGTGGCCATGTTTTTTTGCCTCTCAGTGTCAAAGGGAAATCTAATAATCAAATAATGTAGTCAAATTTGTAAAATGTTAAAATAGAAAGAATATTTGAGCTTTTATTTTTTAAATTTCCTCCCTACTAAATTTAAAAAATAAGTGTACACAATTTAAAAACTCTGTGTACAATATGCATGATTTGCCATACGTGTGATATCTTGAGTTTTTTTATTCATTGCAATCTCCATAATTTTATCTTGTTTTTCGACGATTGTTAATAATTGTACAGAATAAAATTTCTTTTATGTTATATTGAAAATTAAATGGATTTTTATTGATGTAAATGTTTAATTTTTCAATGCAACAAGATCTTTAATTCTATTATAAATAGTTTTGTTTAATACTACAACTTCTCTTGGATTAAATTTTATTTTTCCCTTCATTTAAATATTTTCCTCTCTCTGTTTTTTCCTTTTGCTTTGGATTTTGACGTTTCTACTCATCTAACTACAACAGTTAAAATTATTATGTAATACTAGCAATTGACAAAAAATGGGCAATGATGGTTACAATTCAACAATTGATTTTAAACTTACTAACTACTTAACTATTTTCTTTATTTTATTTTTAGGGGTTTGTCTTATAAAACATGGCAGTAATTTTTCAACAGAAGCAAAGAATACCGAGACAGATTCAGATGGAAAAACTTACACAGCACATGGGCTTTTCCAGGTAATATTGTCAAAATTTTATAATATGTAATGTATTTATAATTTATTAGCATCGAGCTTTCACTCAATATATAGTGCTGTAAAATAGGCATATGCATTTCCCACATTATTCTGTATATAGCCACCACCAATTAGATTAAAAAATGCCCCCAACCATTCTATACGCGGTGAATGAAAATATAGTAAAACCTAAAATGAAAGGAACATGAGAGCGTTCACTGTTCCAAGACAAAAAGTGAAACCTTGCAAAATGAATCCCAAATATTTCAAATAGTATGTCTTGCAGAAAAAAGATCACAGCACCCACTGCTGCCACTTGCCAATGGCTGAACTAGACTTTTATCTATGCCTGTTGTACTAAGTAAGTAATACAAGAGTGAAACTGGGGAGTCAAAAGTAATGGAGGAGATAGCACTTGTGCCAACTCAATGCCTTGAGTCTACTGTCCTGTCCATGGTGGATAAGTACCAGAAACTTTCCACAACTTACAGGCCGATATTTCTGACAACCTGCTTGAACAAATCTCCTGTAATCAGAGCTAAAAGTTTCTTTGAACTGTTATCATGAGAGAAAAGAGGTTTACTGCCTTTATTAATGTTCCAGTAGGCATCATACAATCATTGACCATGATTGTCTCCTTGAGAATGATATCCATATGTTTCCTCTGGCCATATTCTCTGACCTCAGAAATGAGTATACATTGTGGAGAAAAGCGATGTTACAATAAACATAAATGTTTGGGTGTCGGTATGAGAGCAATTTAGCTAGTCTCCTTGAAGCATTCCTGCGTCAGGTTGGGGTAGACTGCTGGTTCAAGGGAACTGACACTTCCAGGGTTCAGCTATGTTACGCTGACTCTGTCCCACGTCTTATCAGTCGGGTTCAGAAATCAAAGAGGTAATGCAGCTGAGTTATTTTCTCTATGTCTAAAATGTTGTAAGTCCAATTTTGCTCACAAGCCTCCACATCTCTGCATGAGGGTACCACAATAAATTAGAAAGATAATTAGTTAATGTGTTTTTATTTAAACTAAATACATATATTTTTTTAATTTTGTACATATCAACATGTATAAAATGAACATGTAGTCCGTCTGCTGGGTTACAGGTTTAACATTTTTTTGTTGGTTTCTTGATTCTTATACAATTTGATGAAAGAGAAAAATGTCTTAATATAATAAAGGCAAGGTATCCATACATTCTTACATAGTTATGCACAAAAGGTGAGTTTTGAGAGTGCCAAAAGATTCCTGAGATATAAGGAAATAAAGCCAGATCTAAGGTCTTCCATACAAGGATCGATTGTGGTCGATGAAACTTGAACGCGATGTGACTACAATGAAACCTCGGCTTGACCAAAATGTGAGATCATCTTGGTTAAAAATGATTTTAATTGTTTCTGTCTGAGAGTGGAAAAAAGTGGCCAGTACATCAGACACTTTTAAATAGTATCACAGAGAGCCGACAACACTGTACCATGTGATTCTCAATTTTCCAAATTTCCACTATAATAGCATTTATCCTGCAAATTTTTTTATTAACGCATTCCCCTTCAATGTGTATACATTTCAGTATTAATTGTTTGTTTTTCAGATTAGTGACGAAAAATGGTGTGAAAATGATAAACCAGGTGGGACTTGTAAAGTCAAATGCGAAGGTACGTAATTTTAAACTTACTTTGTGATTTATATATATATAAGGAACATAGTAATCATGAAGTATTCTGAGATTTTTCATATGTCATACACTGTTTTTTCTTTTTTTTTTTTAAATAGATTTGAGGAAAGCAATGTCTGGAACCGTGGAGTGTGCCCATGAAATTCATGATGAGCATGATGGTTTTGGAAATTGGAAAGTCTGGAAGGAAAATTGCAATGGCACTAGTTTAACTGAACCTAATTGCCCTGAGGAAATAGCGAAATATAGTTGAATAAGCATGTTCTTTAGCGTTTTATTCTGTTTTTTGATTATTGGTTTTTGTGGCAAGGTTTTTGTGAAATATATATATATGTCAGTTATCTTTACCCCATATATTGGGTTGTTGAATAATGTTCATTTTTCCTTGACCAAATGGTAATTTTATGCAGCCAGCAGTGAAACTGAAAGTGTCTATTGATATATTAAAGTTTTTGTAAGTAGTACTTGAACTACATAAGAGTAAGCATCTATTAAAAATTTAAAAAATCCTTTTCTTCATTTCTATTTTCATTTTTTTTATAGATTTTTTAGGAAGGCAATAAATTCCACCCAATTGATTTTTTTTATTTTCTCAGTAAAAGAAAATTTTATCCTTAATTAATATTTACTTAACATACAAATTAATATTTGTTTATACTATGTTTTAAATTGGGAATATCAATTAGAGGTAAACACACTTGATCCTTAATTCAAAACAAGGATAAAGGATTTTTCGGTGTTTACTGTTCACAGAATTTAAAATGTTTATTCAGTCCCATTTCAATTTTGAAGCAATAATCTGTTCAGTTTTCATCTTTGTTGTGTTAATTTCAATTTTTAAATTAAGCCACTTAGTGCTGAGTATATTGCGCATAGTATATTATTAATGATGGACTTTCCATCAGGTATGTGGCTATTGCCATCAGAGTTCCCTATGAAACTCTACAAGACACAGTTAACGTTTACGAGAAACTGGGGTCCACCTTAGTTCAGGACGCCCTAGAGTAAAAGAACCACAGGATGACTGTTTTTTGGACTTTGAGAATTTTGCAAAACCAGCACCTTACTGTTGTTCAAGCAATTCATCAGTCCCAGAAAGTTCGAGGTGCCCAAATTTTTTGCCTGCCAGTGTATACATGAATTCCTGAGGCTGTTAATAAATGTGTTTTTTCTGGTTTTGCTTGCATAGCTGATTCAACAATCAATCATTTGTATTCGCTGTAATTGTTCTTACAAAATCGTCTTAAATATTATACAAATTGACATAACCCTCCAGCCCATTGCCGCCTGTGACACTTGTTTATACTGTCCCAAATAAATAAATGAACTCATCACAATTTCCATTTACTGTTTACTGTGTTCATCGAAGCTTTCTACATCTACCTCAATCGGTAATAAATCATTTTAATTTTGGCTGTAATATCATTCATCATCTCTTTGAGTTTAAATATTCTCAACTATACATCGGATAAAAAACAAGATTTTAAAATTTTTATTTAATAAAAATTCAATTCAATATATATATATTGGGGACCGCGGTAGCCGAGTGGTTAGCATGAGAGACTCTCACGCCGCGGACGTGGGTTCGATTCCCACCGTTGCCCCTGGCCCTTTTTTCCCAATAACCCCCCAAATTTGAACACACATATACGAATTTGTCACATGGCTAATATGCATAGTTCATAACGCCAAAAAAANCAGATAAAAAAGTAATATATATTGTATTTTTTTATATGGGCTACATTTTGCATGTTTTGGCATAAATTCTGGTAATCTTTTCAAAAATGGATTGACCTACCATCTAAAGTTAACCAGAACAAAATACAATATTTCATTCTCCACATCAGCTTGAATTGTCATTCAGGAAATTTGTAGAATATGTTACCAAACACTAAGTGATTTTCCATAAATTTGTGAGTGCCCCAGCCAGAATGCGAAAAGTGAAACTTTTTGAATCTCAAATCTTGAAAGTGGAAATTTTCTTTAAACTACTTTGTTTTGAATATATTAGATTCTTTTATAAGTATATTTTACTTACAAAAATCATTATACATATAGTCAATAAAATAGCAATCATATTGATGGAAGGTGTACTTCCCAAACATACTCCCTCGGCCACCTACTGAACTTTCCACGCTTTGCAAAGATTCTCCAGATTTTCACATAAATAAGCAATTTATAACTTATAAGCCATGGGGGCTACGTTACCACATTTTTGTAGAGCTGTAGTTGTGATTCAATACTTTTATAATACCAATGAAAAAAAAGTCAATAAAATATGATTTTTGTATACATTTTTTTGAAATATTTTTTTATATATCTATATATTTTATATTTGGATAAATTTATACTAAGCTTACAAAATCAGTCCAAATAGATATAGAGAGATGATCAAGGATAATGTTTGGGTCCGGCCCAAGTAGGAAAATACATAATTTAATGAGAAGTCTGTTGAACAACTTCTCCTCAGCTAACTCCCCTTGTTTTATATAAATCTCTTAATCTCTCAATAAATATGCATTATTATTGTTCCTCTAATTTTTAATCCTCTTTGCTGTTCCTCAATTGTAATAAATTACAAACATATATGAGCTCCATAAAATAGTACAGCTGCTTAAAATTAAGAGAGTTCGCGACAATAAAAATAAAGTCATGAGAATATTCTTGGATATCTCAGACTTTTGATTCTGTAGACCATGCACTTTTACTTGAAAAACTTCCATATTCATATCAAAGTATCAGTTTATAATTTCATTAAACCATACATGTTAAATAGGAATTAAAATTCGAAAATAAGCCAAACTTTTACCTATCTCACTTGTAGTAATTGTGGTGTTCCACGGAGAAGTGTTTTAGGGCCTGTACTATTTTTAATTTACATTAACGACTTTCTTTAAAACAACTTTCTGGTAAAAGATTCACAGATTTTACAGCTATTGTTTTTTCCTCGCAAGAATTATGATGTTATACTAAGAAACATTAATGATGAAATAATAGTAGTTAAAAAATGATTAGATAGTAATGTCTTACTTTTAAATACATTTAAAACTAAAATCAACAAATCAAAATGATTTAAATGAAAATAGAGTATAACATTCATGTGTTAAAACATTCCTCAATTATAAGCTTTCTAATGAAGTTAAACATTGGAGAGTAATTTTTAATAATAAATTAAAAATTTAGGTTTCTTATTTATGCTTTGATGAAAAGTTTAGAAAATTATTTTATAAATTGAAAATTTTAAGTAACAGTCTTTATCCAGATATATTGCGATCTGTTTGCTTTGTAGTACTTTTCAAAACTTGCATTATTTTTGCACAGCCCAATATTATTTAACGTACATATTTAAAGTAGGAGGTAAATCAAAATCTATTGCATTATTTATGCATTTTTTCCAAGTTTAATTTTACATTTTTTATATCAAATTTCTCAAGCCAATCTAGTTCCCGCCCTTTTTGCAAACTGTGTAACTCTGTTGTATTTATATTGAAATTAAAATTGAGTTTTGTTTCGTTTAGATGAAGGAACCAAAACTAGAATTCATACAAGACATTGGGTAATATGCCAGCGTCTTTCAAGCGGAAACTGTGGCTATTGAACACTGGGCCAGGAAGATAAAAAGGCAGGGGATTGTCAATAGAAGAATAGTTTCTTGGACAGCCAGGTGGCACTTCTTCAGTCAAGTGCGGCATCGACGGTAAATCGAGAGTCGTTTGGGACTGCGTTACAACCCTGTCAGACATTGGATAAAATAACAAAATTACCCTTATCTGGGTGCCGAGTACACAGGGCAAAGGGGCATCGAAAGGCCGATAAATTGGCCAAGGAAAGTTCCATTGCCCCTGAACCCTTTTGTGGCAAACCAGACTGCCAGAAACACGAATCCATTTCGACAATAAGCTCTGCACTCAATGGGAATGTAGCCCAGGACAGAGATATGCGAAAAATGTATCAAAGAACCATTGCAGAAACTAACAGCAGAACTACTAAATCTAGGGTGTGCTAGGACTAGAATAATAATTGGACTGCTGGCTTCACACTGCAGACTCTGGAGGCATATGTATAGACTCGGAGAAGCCGAAACAAGCCTGTGCAGATATTGCCAAGAAGAAGATGAAACACCAGAAGATGTCCTCTGTTGGTGCGATGGCTGAGATTCCTAATCCTGGGAGAGGAAAAGCCAGGACCTAAAGGATACTCACGAAAGCCCTTGAAGAAGCTTTGAGATCTGGTAAAACGCCTTATAGACTGTTACTTGTCGCAGTTCGCAGGTAGTAAAGCTCCTATCTAATCTTCGTTTAAATGGTCTTTAAATTCAGAAAATCGGTTTGATTTAGGGAAAGTTATCATTAACCCTCCTTTCAATTTCTCTGCCACTTCGTCCTACATATTTATATCTCAATCGTTACAATCAAGTTGGTAAAACCAAGCTTTTTGGCAAGTTGTCAAATTTGTCTTTAGGTTTTGAGAGAATGTTTCTATTTGAGCTACTTAATCTAAAACCGAGAGAATAGGAATTTCAACCGTTTAAGAATTTCCCTACTTTTTCTGATAGTTAATCAATATATGGCAAGCAACATAAACCTAATGATTCAATTTTGGTGGTCCAATTGTTGCTTCTTTTAAAGTTAATTCTTTTGTTCTTAATTAATCAGAAAATTAAAATTATTTTCTTATAGTGCTTATTAAGATAATATTTAGATAATCAGCTTCTCATTAAAACGTCGCGTTGGCGGTAGAACGGCGGTTCCTTCAATTCATATCGAGGGGCGTGCTTGCAATTCCTTTCAACCTGAGGATGCGTTTTAAGCCAGGAACACACTTACCCGATGCAACGCTATGCGACTCTATCCGACACAAATTTAAAGTCCAATTTACGATAAGATTGTATAAACCCCGTGCACGTCTGCCGGATGCTGTGTAACACTACCCTACTCTATGCTATCCGATCCCCACTGTCCAGATTTTCGTCGGGTCGCATCGAGTACAGTTGAAAACAAAAGAACCGGACTCATATTTTTATTCAAACTACATAATTACAACATACTTATTTTAATATAAACCAAATTAACCGAGATCATAAATTGCTTTTTATTTAAAAAAAATTAATTTTAATGGTTTGGTAGAAAATTGATCAAAACACCAGAATACCATTTTTTTATATAATGAATTTAATTAAAAATTTATAACACGGGTTTGCTCTTAAAATTAAGAAACAATTTATTTCATGGTTTTACTCATAAAATTACACCGTTTTCGTCGAGTAGGGTCAGAACAGGACACTCATATTTTTGTAGTTTATTTAAAACTTTGTATATGTAATTTTGTATGTAATAATGCATTTAAGATACTGATTTGTGTTACACGCCGTGTGACTGTACGTAGCATTTGACGTCGCATAGATGTGCACAGCCTACCAAAACGTGACAAGGCGTCGGGTAGGATCGGGTAGCGTCCTAAGTGTGTTTTCTCGGCTTTAAGCTCGAAATCAGGATAGCTATAAATAATAAATTTGTAAATAGAACCTTTTTTACAAAAAAAAAGTGAAGTCTTTTAGGCTATAAAACCGTGTGAGGAGGATAGGCTACATGTCAGTGCATTGGATTAATTTTTTTTTATTATTCCGATCGGTCTACGTACAGAAACACTGATAATGTCGAAATGCCGAAAATAAACTGTGGTATCACAAGTGCAGAGCTTTGCCTGTAAGGCTTTTAGCCAAACACATTTGGTGAAACTTAAAAATTGGAAAGCACAAAATGTGAACTCTATTTTTCGCAGTGGCGATATAGTTTTAATAACAGATGGACCTTCTATACTGACAGAGATCATTAGGAATTATAAAGCGGATGTCCTGGGCTTATCCAAGAAGCCCTTCGCATAGCCAAGGATAAGCTGTTCTTACTAAAGCACGGTCGGCAGTATTCATAGCATGCAGCACAGATTGTTCAAAGGATTTGTTCTAAATACTTCTTCAAGCGCGCTTTTCGGAAAAATAAGGTCAATTTTACGAAAACTCTTCAAACATTTCATTTTATATCTCCCATTCTAGTTTATTTATTTAAGCCAAGTTTATACCATTACGTGTAATTTATTATTTATTTATAAATCGGTGTCAAGTTTTGTGAATAAATGCAAAAAATTTATGTTCAAGATTTTAGGTGTGTGAGAAAACAATCAAATTTTGTTTCTTGCTTAAAGTAATGTTTTTACCTATTTTCCTAAGTCAATTTACGCGATTGTTTCAATTCAAATATGAACTAGATGTAAAATAACATTCCGTTGCCAGGTTTTGTCAATATTGACCTCGTACGTCTTTCACCTGCTTGATATAAAGGCAAATCAAGATGGTAAATTTATAAATCAGTTCTAAACGTCAATCGAAAAGTTATAAAATGTAAGTTTTCGGATTAATATTTTTTTCACACATTTTATTAATTCGTCGTATATTTGATCGTTTTAAGGAAATTTCTCTGTGTTTTCTTGACTGTTGTTGCCACTCTGGCTAGCGCATCGCCAGCCAAATTAAAAAAATACGATAAGTGCGAACTCCGGGAAGAATTGAGGAAACGAAACTTCCCAACATCCGACTTGGACCTTGGTAAGTTATTCATGACTTAAGAGAAGAAAAATGGAATCAAGAAAGCTTAATTGTTTTATATAAACTCCTTTTATCATTAGGAAGTAATGTCTTCTTTGTCATTGATTTATTTTACATTTTTAGCGGTTTGTATTTTTATGGACGGCAGCAAAGGTCTCATTTCAATAAAAAAAGAAGACGATCTAGAAGATAATGTCCAAAGATATGGATTGTTCCAGGTAGACTTTCAAAATATCAAACATATAAGATTTTTTCGTGAAAATTCACATCAATCAGACACACTCGTCCCCAATCTCTCTTTCTCTCTTCTCTCTCTCTCTCTTTCTCTTCTATTTTCTCTCTCTTTTTCTTTTTTTATCTCTCTCTCCCTTTCCATTCTCTCTCTCCTCTCATTCTCACTTCTCTCTCTCCCTCCCCCCTCTCTCTCACTCTCTCTTTCTCTCACCTTCTCTTCTCTCTCTCTCTCTTTCTCTTCTATTTTCTCTCTCTTTTTCTTTTTTTATCTCTCTCTCCCTTTCCATTCTCTCTCTCCTCTCATTCTCACTTCTCTCTCTCCCTCCCCCCTCTCTCTCACTCTCTCTTTCTCTCACCTTCTCTTCTCTATCTTCTTTCCTTCCTTTTCTCTGCTCCCTTTCCATTCTTTCTGTCATCTCCCTTTCCTTCTCTCTCTTTTTCTTCTCTTCTCTCTCTTTTTCTTTGCTCTCTCTCTCTCTCTCTCTTCTCTCTCTCTCTCTCTTTCTCTTCTATTTTCTCTCTCTTTTTCTTTTTTTATCTCTCTCTCCCTTTCCATTCTCTCTCTCCTCTCATTCTCACTTCTCTCTCTCCCTCCCCCCTCTCTCTCACTCTCTCTTTCTCTCACCTTCTCTTCTCTATCTTCTTTCCTTCCTTTTCTCTGCTCCCTTTCCATTCTTTCTGTCATCTCCCTTTCCTTCTCTCTCTTTTTCTTCTCTTCTCTCTCTTTCTCTTTGCTCTCTCTCTCTCTCTTTCTCTCTATTTCTTCCCTCTCTTTCCCCTCTCTCTCTCTCTCTCTCTCTCTCTCTCTCTCTCTCTCTCTCTCTCTCTCTCTCTCTCTCTTTCTGTCTCTCTCTCTTTCTTTGTCTCTTTCTATCTATTTATCTCTTTTGCTCACACTGTTTCTTTTTTAGAGTTCAGTTATTTTTTTTTTTTTAAATTGTCTTCTGTCGAGTCGTGTAAATTTAATTTCCTAGCATAAACAGTGAATGAAATATATACTCAATGTATTTCAATTTTTTGTGATATGGCAGAAATTCTCTAGATGTAATTAACTTAAATATTAACACCCAATTAAGAATAGGCCACACGAATTTGACACACGTACAATTAATTTTGGACAAAGGGCTGCGTTTATGTATTTAGAAAAAGGTTGGTTGATGCGACCCAATTAATTGAAGGGAGCCATTCCTTGGCCACATATAGAGAGGGTGTAGGAATGCCATCCGATATGAGAATTGTGCTTGAGCACGGCAGTGAGTATTTGGTTACTCTGTTCTGATGTTTAGAAGAAAAAGAGCTGTTTTACCGTAATTTAAGATGGTAATTAAACAATGTAGTCTCTAATAGTAAGTTCAAAACATACATTGGCCAGTTGGAGGGGAAGTACATTACAAATTTTCTTTATTAAAAAAAAAAATCTAAATTGTAAATCTGTTATCCCTCCAGAAGACAAAAATTGGATTGTTTGGTAGTACGCTCTTATCAATTAAATGTGAATTACTGCAGGGCACAGTTTGGTCCTATCCTTTTCTTATATACATTAATGATTGAATAAATTTTACGGTAATATCTTTATGCTAATGACACGCGATTATTTATTCAGCAAAATATTTGTCGGACATTTCTAAAACCTCTATTTTAAAAGAAGTTTTGTATATACAATATTTGCTTGATCAAATTCTCTGCTTTTAAATTTCGAAAAACTAATATTACATGCTTTTCATTGAGATACATACCAGAATTATACAAACAAAATCCGTTTTATATTCATGAAAAGTTTTTTAAATTATTTTTGCAAATATCTTCCTTTTGAAACTAAAGGAAAATATTTAGGTGTATTACTGGTTCAACAAATAAGCTTTAATTTTCTAAGTAAAAAGAATAAGAATTTTTTTTGACAAATTTTGACTTTTTAGTAGCATTTTACCTTTATCTACTTTAGACTCAACTGAATTTTAATGCTATTCAGAAACTGAATGTGAATCCGTACTCACTTAAATATTTTTAAATGTTTCCGCTAAGTATCAATAAAATTTAAAAATTATTTCAATATACTTGATTAGTACTAAATTTTCCAACACTTCATTTCAGCTTGGTGACGATGAATGGTGTTCAACTGGTTCAAAAGGAGGGAAATGCAATGCTAATTGCCAAGGTAAAGTTATATTACCCAATTAAAAATTTCAAATTTTATCAATAGTTGGTGAAAAATAAATGATTTTCAAGCATGGTGAACGTATTAATAATTGAAAGCAAACAGCATAATTTTACTCATTTGTGGGTGCTAGCAATAAAGTTAAATAAATTTTAAAAATAAATTGTGATCGATTTGATTTTCAGATTTTTTGAAAGAAGACATCACAGAAGCGGCAACATGCGCCCTGCAGGCCCTCAGAGAGAATGGATTCCCCGAGTGGCCCGGAGAATATGACAGATGCCAAAGCAAACCTCTAACATTTGATGACTGCAATTAGTATTAAATCTCCAGCCGACGTGCTATTACCATATTTCTTTTAAAAAGAAAAAATCGCAATGGAATTTGTAAAAATAGAAAAGCAAATTATATTCAATTTGCAAGTTTGTTTGTCATTATTTACAATTTCATCCTGATTGGCACATAACGCGCCCCTCTTACTTTTATATATTTTTATATATTTCGAAAATTGACAATTTGAGTCCCGTCCATGAGTACAACTGTCGTGAACGTGATCAAAAATTTACAACATTAGGACATATCTTTCGTAATATCAATGTCATCCGCAGACGGCTACGATAACTTCCGAAATTCAAAGTTAAACGCTTAACAACAAAGTTCCCTTGGAACTGTGATGGTAAAAAACAACAGCAACATTACTGGAAAATGTCCCTGCGGCAACGCAGCTGTGTGTGCGTTAACCGACCTGATGCTTTCAGACCGCAACCGCGGGACCGGACGGAAAAAACCGCATGTGTGTACCGAGTCTAAATCAACCAGACACTGACAAAGATAACGCCGACTCATGCATTTATACTCACAACCTGACGGAGATCACCAGATTCACCACTGAAGAAGGCAAGAAGCGTTCGTCATACCTGTTTAACAACACCGATGTACCGTCTATCTTTCTTAACTTAAAATGGTTCTCCCTAGTTTCCATAAACCACTGCACGAGTACAAATTAAGTGTTTCAAAACATGATGAAAATTGTGTGGTTTTTAGTAACCGTTAGTTGCTGATTATTTGGAGATCGTGAGATGTGGTCTGGTGTGACGTAGGTTGCTGCGGTAAGTTGTGAAAACTCGTTCACCCTAATTTCCTTTTATGTGCACATCCATGTTTGAGATAAAGACAAAAATTCAAAGTAGGGATGGAATCAGGTGGGTTAATTGAAGTACAACCAGCAATATTCAGTTCAAAAAAAGCTTAGTTGTTCTTTGCTTTGGTACCGTCTTTTTTCGCTTATATACAAATTAAAGTACGATCTCTGTGGTTTTCAGCTGCCTATTCCTGCCTATCTGATTGATTAGCACAGTTTTAAATAGAGCTCTTTAGCCTAAAATCTCGAAAATACAATAAATTTGGCCACGTTCTGTTTAGTTCAAAGATTGACCCTTAAATGTTACTGTTCTTTTGCTACAATATATAAAATCCGAATCAGATATCACAAATATCGTAACATGAAAGTTTGCTTTCATAAAAAGGTATATTTATAAAGCCGAGTACATACTTACCCGATGCAACGCTATGCGACGCTAATCCGAAGTCCATTTTTCCATAAGATTGTATTACCGCTGTGCACATCTGCCCGATGCCATGCAACGCTACCCTACTCTACGCTATGCGATCCCCACTGTCCAGATTGTCATCGGGTAGTATCGAGTACAGTAGAAAACAAAACAACCGGACACTCATATTTTCATGAAACTCCATGCAATTTTGTCGTTATATTAATTACACCTACTTATTTTAATATAAAACAAATTAACCAAGATCAAAAATTCATTAGTTTTTTAATTAATTTGTATGGTTTGGTAGAAAATTGATCAACACACTGGAATACCATTTTTTGATATAATGAATTTAACTAACAATTTATTACATTGTTTTGCTCATAAAATTACACCATTTTCGTCGAGTAGCTTCAGAACAGGACACTATATTATTTTTGGTTTATTTCAAACTATGTATATGTAATTTTGTCGTTATATTAATTACAACATTTTTATTTTAATGTAAACCAAATTAAACGCGATCCAAAATTCAAAAGTTTTTATTTTAAGTTTATTTTAGGAAAATTAAGTTTAACAAACAATTTATTACATGGTTGTGCTCGAAATAATGCATTTAAGATACTGATTTGTGATACACGCTGTGTGACTGTACGTTATGTGCGCTTGGCGTCACATAGATGTGCACTCCCTACCAAAACGAGACAAGGCATCGGGTTGCATCGGGTAGCGACGCATAGCGTTGTTTCGGGTGTGTTCCCCACTGTGGTTGTGAATAAGTTGTTAAAAAGGGACTTTGCGTTTGTTCTTAGCCGAAATCATATGACAATGTCATATCCCTAAACGATTGGACAAGTAATTAGGATAGTAAGACAATTAATTTTCGAGAAAAACGCAAAAAACCCAGAAAATTCGAAAAAAATTTTATTGACTTTTTCGCTGTAAATCGACATGCTGAGTCGATCGAAAAAGGAATTAGGCTCGTAGGACACGCATAGCCTACACCTCTTCCCACCTCACTCTTTTTTCACCTCCCACAGACTGGACATCGGGTCCGACGAATACCTAGCCTAGACCCCTATTCACCTCATCCCCACCTCAACTGTTCCAGAACCCGCATTTTATATCTACTGAGATTGATACACGGAATCAATTTGAAGTAGCAACAGGCCAAAGTCGCTAACTCGCAACTCTCGACTCAGCCGAGGCTTCAATTTGGATAAATCGAAAAAAAGATACTTTTCAAATGTTTTTTTAGACTTTTGATATTTTCTTAGTTTCATAAAGTGTTTGTGGATATTTTGACCAAATTTTATGAAGATTGATACACGGAATCAATTTGAAGTAGCAACAGGCCAAAGTCGCTGTGATGATCGTTCTGAAGAAAGGGATCTGCACTTTGGAAGAGAGGACGATCATCACAAACACATTGGAAAAGGAGTAGATAAGCGGCTATCCTGAAAGGAGTGCGCTGCCACAAAGACGTCTTAAATTTTACAGTTTTGTGCCATATTGAAAGATTCAAGGTACTTATATCTTTGCGATTCATTTCGGTTAATTTTGTATTTTGTTTAAAGTTTTTTATCTCTGAACATTGCCTGTTAAAAGAATAACTGTTCTGTTAGAAAAAGTATTTCTCCAACATTGTTAATTTTTCGTTTGTTTCATGCCAAGAAGAGGCCTTTTTTTTAATATATTATTTAGCTTATGTTATATTTAGTTTTTTTTATTGTATAAGATCCCCATCACAAAATTGGTAGCACAGCGTGGTTTCTTCTTCCCCTGGAAGAGAGGGGACGATCATCACAATGTGAGAACTCCTTAAAAGAGGCTGCTTAAAATTAAGAGAGCTCGTGACAATAAAAATAAAGTTATGAGATTATTCTTGGATATCTCAGACTTTTGATTCTGTAGACGATGCAAATTTAACTTGAAAAACTTCCATATTCATATCAAAGTATTAATTTATAATTTCATTAAACCATACATGCTAAATAGGAACCAAAATTCGAAAATAAGCCAAACTTTTACCTATCTCACTTGTACTAATTGTGGTGCTCCACAGAGAAGTGTTTTAGGGCCTGTACTATTTTTACTTTACATTAACGATTTTCTTTAACACAACTTTCTGGTAAAATATTCACTGGTTTTACAGCTATTGTTTTTTCCGGGCAAGAATTATGATGTTATTCTAGAAAACATTAATGATGAATTAACAGTAGTTAAAAAATGATTAGATAGTAATGTCTTACTTTTAAATACACTTACAACTAAAATCACCAAAATCAAAATGACTTAAATGAAAATAGAGTATTAAATTCATGTGTTAAAACAATTAATTGTAATTCCTCAAATATGCTTTTCTAATGAAGTTAAACATTTGAGAGTATTTTATGATAATAAATTTAAATTTAGGTTTCTTATTTATGCTTTGATAAAAAGTTTAGACAATTATTTTATAAATTGAAAATTTTAAGTAACAGTCTTTATCTAGATTTATTGCGGTCTGTTTGCTTTGTAGTATTTTTCAAAACTTGCATTATTTTTGCACAGCCCAATATTATTTATGTACATATTTAAAGTAGGAGGTAAATCAAAATCTATTGCATTTTTCTCCAAGTTTAATTTTACATTTTTTTTCAGATTTCTCAAGCCAATCTAGTTCCTGCCCTTTGTTGAAACTGTGTAACACTGTTGTATTTATATTGAAATTAAAATTGAGTTTTGTTTCGTTTAGATGAAGGAACCAAAGGCTAGAATTCATATAAGCCTTGGGCAATATGCCAGCGTCTTTCAAGCGGAAACTGTAACTATTGAACACTGAGCCAGGAAGATAAAAAGCCCGGGGGTCGTCAATAGAAGAATAGTTACTTGGACAGCCAGGTGGCACTTCTTCAGGCAAGTGCGGCATCGGCGGTAAGTCAAGAGTCTTTTGGGACTGTGTTCAGCCCCGTCAGACATTGGAAAAAATAACAAAATTACCCTTATCTGGGTGCCGAGCACACAGGGCAAAGGGGCATCGAAGGGCCAATAAATTGGCCAAGGAAAGTTCTATTGGCCCTGAACTGTGTTGTGGCAAACCAAACTGCCAGAAACATGAATCCATTAGACATTAAGTTTTCCGCCCAATGGGAATGTAGCCCAGAAAAGAGACATGCGAAAAAATGTATCAAAGGACCATCGCAGAAACTAGCAGCGCAGCTGCTAAACCTAGGAAGCACTAGGACTAGAATAAATAGTTGGACTGCTGGCTTGACTCTGCAGACGCCGGAGGCAGATATCTCGGAGAAGCAGAAACAAGCCTGTGCAGATATTGCCAAGAAGAAGAAGAAACACCAGAAGATGTCCTCTGTTGGTGCAAAGGCTGAGATTCCTAATCCTGCGAGAGGAAAAGCCAGGACCTGAAGGATACTATAGAATAAAAAAAAGAAAAAAAGAAGAGAAATGCACAGTAGACCGATACTTGTCACAGTTCGCAGGTAGTAAAGCTCCTATCTAATCTTCGTTTAAATGGTCCTTAAATCCAGAAAATCTGTTCGATTTAGGCAAGTGATCATGAACCCTTCTTTTAATTTCTCTGCCGCTTCGTTCAATATATTAATATCGCAATCGTTACAGTTAAGTTGGTAAAACCCAGTTTTTTGACAAGTTGACAACTTTTGTCTTAAAGTGTTGAGAGAATGTTTCTATTTGAGCTGCTTACTCTAAAACCAAGAGAATAAGAATTTTAACCGTTTAAGAATTTCACTACTTTTTGCGATAGTTAACCATTGTAGGGCAATCAACGAAAACCTAATGATTCAATTTTGGTGGTCCAATTGTTGCTTATTTTAAAGTTAATTTTTTTATTCTTAATTAATCAATAAATTA